GGTCCTGGCCGGTTCTGGGGTGCTCAGCCCCTCAAGGAGCCCTGGTTGGGGGGTCCCAGCCTGCGATGGGGTGCTGGGCTTCTCACGGGGGTCTTCAGCCCCTCACAGGGTCCCTGTGCTGAGGGGCCCCGGGGTGGTGTGGTGCCCATCCTGCCTCAGGATCTCCCGGATCAGGGGTCTGATCCCCATCCCTGGGGATGCTGAGCTCCTCAGGGTCGTGCCCGTGCCACGCTATCCCCCCCCAGCAAAAAGGTGCCTGAGTGTTCCTGCCAGCTCCCTGCTGCACTGGGATGCTCCTCCTGGAATCACAGCATGGGTAAGGTTGGGCGGGACCAACCCACCTGCTCCCGTTTCAGTGCCCTGCCTGGCAGGGCAGATCTCTCTGTCTCTCTGGAAACAATCCCAAATTTTAGACAGGTGGGAGTGGCAGCTTTTCAAGGAACCTGGCTAAAAATAGGGTGCAGGTTTATAATCCTAATCCAGGAGACCTTTCTCAAGGCTCCAGGGAAACTGCTTTAATCCTCTTTTCTTCTTTGTAAAGGGGGCTTTGCCTTCCCTGCAAAGCCTCTCTGCTAATCAGCATTAATTATCTTAACTCTTGTGATGTCTGTCCTTTGCTTTCCTGGTTGTGTTGCTGCCTCCCAGGTAAAATCCAGGGCGAGTTCAGCAGGCAGGAGCAGACCAGGAAACATTCCTTGGTTTAGGGGCCACCTCATTTTTTTGCAGCCCAGAGGGGTCACAAGGCCATTTGTCCTCAGTCTCGTATTAATTAAGTAATTAATTGGCCGTGCTGTTCTCTGGCTGATCAGCTCCCTGGTGGTTTTGGTGGGTTGGGATGGATCCAAAGCCATTTTTAGTAGACTCTCAGTGCTGGGGTATTTTGCAGATTGGCTGCTCTGAAAATGCCAAAATCTGAGCAAAGGATAAAAAAAAAACCACCAACTCCAAACGTTCTGATCAAAATAAATCCATCCTTGTGATGCTCCTGCTGCAGCTGGCTTGGAAATGGGATAAGGTTTGGAGCAACCTGGGCTAGTGGAAGGTGTCCCTGCCCATGACAGGAGGGTGGAATGAAATGTCATTTAAGGTCCCTTCTGACCCAAACCATCCCAGGATTGTACAAAATTCCCAGCCCCATCACCTGGGATCGGGAACGGCTTTTGTTCCCTCTCAGTTAAGACCTGTTTCCCTCTGCAGATTCCAGCAAAATTAAGGGATCTGTGAGGGAGGCAAGAGGAAGCACCTGCAAGACCCTTGGTTTATTTTTAGCCTGTTTTTTAAGGAAATGGGACACGTGATCACACCCAGGTGTCTTTTCTCACTTAGTTATGAGTATTTTTAGAGAGGAAAAAAAAAAATGGGAGTGGAATCAAGGAGAGGATCCCAGTATGGAAGTGCTGGGATGTGGTTTGGATCTGTGGACCAAGGGAGGAGTTTCCCTGGTGCCTTCATGGTCCTTGCCCTGAGGTGAAGCAGTGGCTGGAGGCGACAGCCACGTGTGGATTTGTTCCAGAGGAACTGCACTGCCTGCAGGAGGAAGTGCCTGGAAGTGCCCAAGGCCAGCTTGGACGGGGCTTGGAGCAACCTGGGATAGAGGAAGGTGTCCCTGCCCACGGCAGGGGGTGGGATGAGGTGATCGTTAAGGTCCCTTCCAGCACAAACCGTGTGCAGGTGAAATTCTTGTCCCTATGCTGGTGACTCTGAGGTCACCTGCAGGCACAGGGACAGTTTTCCTGTTTCCCACAATCCCAGGCCAGCCCCCCTCAGCCCTTTGGGGGTGTTGGATGCAGCTCGGCCAGGTGGGAGAGCAGGGAGCGGGGGAGGATCCACGAGGGAAGATTAAAGCCCCGTGGGTGGCTCTCATTGGCCATCTTAAAATTGCAGCTCGTTAATTAAGGCTTTAGGAGCTCACAAATAGCCCAGCTCCGTGTCCTGAGCTTGTCTCTGCTCCCGGGGGCTGCGCTGCATTCCTTGGCTGGAAGGGAGCAAAAGGAAAAGGTAAGGATGCCTTGGAATGTGCTCCCATCCCTCCCACCCACCCCTTCCCTGTTGGGGGTTGAATGAAATGATTGGAAGTGCTTTGGGCAGCTTTGAATTCCTGGTTTTCTATCCGTGCCCGCTCCAGGGCAGGTGAAATTTTGAGGATGGAGGGAGAGAAAATCTCTGTTCCTTCTAGCTGGGATCCAGGACTGGGAATTGTGCATCTGGAGCAGTTTGTGTTGGCACAGCTGGATCACCGTGAAAGGGGAGGCTGTGGAACACCTGGATAGGCTCTTGTGGAGCGTTTTCCAAGGAATGCTTAGGGCTCACCTGATTTATTGTTGTGGAAGAGAAGGAACTGTGAGGGGCAGAAGAGAGAGAAAGGCTTTGGGTAACTCCTCAGGGATCCTCTGCTTCCTTGCTGCGGGCACTTTGCTGCTCCTTTTTCCTCTTCTGGTATCGGATATTTAGGCAAAACCTGGGATATTTGGAAATCACCAAAGTTCAAGGTTTAAGGGAATGGTGAGAAAGTCCCCAAATGACCAAAATTCAGGCATTAAAGGGAATGCTGGGAAGGTCCCCAAATCACCAAAAGTCAGGGATTAAGGGAATGGTGGGAAGGTCCCCAAATCACCAAAAGTCAGGGATTAAGGGAATGGTGGGAAGGTCCCCAAATAAAATTCAGGGATTAAGGGAGTGGTAAGAAGGTCCCCAAAAGGGCTTCCTAGAGCAGGTGTTTTTTGGATGATGGAGCTTCATCCAGCAATGATGGGACTGGTCCTCTGGGATCCCTGGAGAAGGTTTGATCTGATGGATCTCCGGGGCTGCAGCACCTGGAAAACACCAAAATAAAGAACCAAGAAACAAGGAGGACTTTCCTTATGGATAATCGTTGCCTGTGGATGTTTAACCACCCACGCTGCTGCCCTGGGCACCTGGCTTAGACTCAGAATCCCCCAGGCTTGGCTAAACTTGGGTCAGACAAGTGTCCTCAGGGGACAGAGGGACCGGTTGTGTCATTCCCTGGCTGTTGTGCTGCCTTGCTGGAGGGATTTAGGGATAAGGACACGTCCAGGCCGGGGTCAGGGAGGCAGCCAGGCTGGATTAGCTGCTTTGGTGAGACAGCACTTGGCTTAAGGCTGGTTAAAAAGTGAGCTGGAAGGTCAGGCTGACATTGCTATGAGCTAATTTAAAATGGAAAGGTGTTATCTGCCCCTTGCCTGGTTGCCCCCCTAGGCCACACCCAGCCCAGGAGGTTCAAAAAAAACCTGCTTTTCCAGGGATTTTACTGCCTGAAGAAGTAATTTTTTAAATAGGAAGGGCAGAACTGGCTTGTTTGATGTGTTAGCTCTGCCTTGGAAGCTGCTGATGGGTGAGGGTCCCCAGTGGTACCCCCTTCCCTCTCACACAGCATTTTCTTCTTTATTTGTATTTATTCTTTATGAAAATATTATTAATCTTGATAATTAACCTTTCTTCCTCCCCAGAGAGGCAGGAACATAAAAACACCCTTTTTTTTTTTCCCCTTTCTGGCTGGAGAAACAACTGCAGCAAGTTCTGTGTGGCCCCAGGCTGGCTTTTTTTAACCTGGAGCAGGAGCTGAGCCCTTCCCTCTTGCCATGAGGCACTTCCAGCAGGAGTCAGTGCTCCAGGAAATATGGAATGAAACCCTAAAGCAAGTCCATGTCAGTGATTTCACCTGAGTTCAGATTCTGGTGCAAGGTTTTGGGATTCAGTGATGGGGGACACACTGGAAACTCTTATCTGCAAACCCTCCTTGAGGCCTCTTTTTTACCCATGAGAGGGAAGGGGCTGGGACTGTCCCTCTGTCCCTTGATTTTCCAGGTGGCACCAGGCACAAACAGCATTTTCTTCTCGTTGGAGAAAGTTTTCCTTAAGATTTCAATCCCAGTGGGACTGGGCTGGCTTGAATTATCCTGGTTTAGTGGCAGCTGGAGCCCAGTTTCCTCCTCCTTTGGGTCATTCCTGTGGGTTTAACCTCAATCCAGTGCGAAGATCCTGCACTCCCAGTACTTTTTATCAACTCTAGGATTGGGATTCCTCACCATTTTTTATTTTCCTGCAGAATCTTCTCTCCAAGGCTATAGAACCGGTGCTGTTCTGAGGAGCTGAGCACCCCTGGGGATCCACACCTGTGTTTTTGTGGCTGTTTCCAACCAGACACGTTTTTCTGTCTCTCCCCAGTCATGCAGGGACCGAGGCCGGTGGTTCTGAGTGGCCCTTCAGGTGCAGGGAAAAGCACTTTGTTAAAGAAATTGCTCAAAGATTACGAGAACATCTTCGGCTTCAGCGTCTCCCGTGAGTATCCCCGTGTTCCCAGGGAAAGGCAGTGGAGGAATTTGGGGCTGTGGCTCTATTTGTGCCCCACATAATGGTTTTCCATGGCTTGCCCTGTGTCCCAGTCTTGGGATGTTTGAATAAATTGGGATGCCTTTTGCTGCTGATTTTGAGTGGCAAGTCTGATTTGTCTGGAATAGCACCCTTTCCAGGTCTGGGGATTCCCCACAGCTCTTGACAGGTGACAAGATTCTTCTGAGTGATTCCTGACACTGAAAGTAACAAAATTCCCCAAATTTCTCCTTCAAAAACCACTTGGTTTTTTTTCCCTGGAGCTCTGCCAAATTACTCATTACCAAAAATATGTTTTGATGCCCCAACACTTTGGATCCTGCAAGTGAAATCCTTGCACTGACATCTGGATTCACTCCACCACGAGAGAGCAAACACTGGATGTTTAAAAATTAAATAAATTACCTTTCTTTTTGTGTGCTTCACCGTGTGCTCTTGATCCAGCTGAATCTCTCCTCTCGCTCCACACTAAATCTTACTGTTTTCTCCCAGGTTTTCTCCTGGTAGAGATTTTTTTTTTTTTTCCTAAAGATCCAGGGGCACGCTTAGACCTTGGCATTTCCTTGATTTTTGGGTGATGTACAGAATTTCCAGGGTTGTTTTTTTTCCCCCTGCAGATACCACGAGGCAGCCAAGACCTGGGGAGGTGAATGGCAAAGGTGAGTGTCTCGCAGATACCCCAAATGTCCAGTGCTTTGGGAAGAGCAGCTGCTTAATGAGGTGTTTTAATCCTCATTAACAGCGTGTCCCCAGCTGTTTCCTTCTTCATTTGCATATTTAAGAAAGAACCAAACGAGGTTTGTGCTTAATTTCCAACGGGCAGTTTCCACTCTGAAATGAAAGGGAGGAATTTTAACAAAAGATAGAGAAGCATTCCTTTTTAGTCTGTTTGGTTTTGATGTTCCCTTTTATCTCCCTCCCTCTCATCCCATTCTGGTCTTTAATTACAAATGTTTTCAAAGGAAGGGCTTTGCCAGCCCCGCCGTAACGTGTTCCACACCTGTGGGCAAGAGGGAGGAGAAGTTCCCACTACACCAGGAAGGGGAAAGGGGATGGAAAAGGGGGTAGAGCAGCGTTTCTGGCCACACAGAATGTTTGGAAGAGGTGTCTGGACAACTTGTGGGGAAAGGGAATGCAATGTCCAATAATTAGGAAGGAGATCTCTGCAGCCTCCCAGTGCTGTCCAAAGCACATTTTAAGTGTCTTCTCCCCCCACGCTCCCACGGGTGTCATTTTAACCATGAACTTTACCTTCAAAACTGTTAATTCCTGGCTGTTTTTCCTGGTTTTCCCTCTCCAGATTATCACTTTGTGACCAGAGAGGAGATGCAGAAGGAAATCGATGCCGGGGAGTTCATCGAGCACGCCGAGTTCTCCGGGAACATGTACGGGACAAGGTATGTCAGCTGTACCTGCCTGTGGCAGGGGCTGCAATTAGATGGTGTTTAAGCCCCCATTCCAACCCAAACCATCCTGGGATTCCATGGATTTGGGAGCAGAAGCCATGACTGTGTTGGCTGTTACATCCTACTCTGGGGATTCATATACACCTGGCTGGGCTTCAAAAGAGTTGGGTGGGTTCTAAAATAGCTTTGCCCTGGGCATTGGAGCTGGTGATCAATCCAACATGAGGCTGGAGTGTTAATTAGGAGTCAGAGATCTTACATAATTATTGTGGGAAAACGGTGGTGCTGTCGGGAAAGGACCTGCTGAGGAGGGAGGTTAAATGTTTCGTAGGTTAAAGAAATTTACCTGAAGTGCTTTTCAAGAAAACTTAATGTTTCCTAAAGAGCTGAACATGCCTTTTTGAGGATTTTTTTTTTGGAGATGGCAAAGCTTCCTTCTGAAGGTAAATTCTTCCCTGTGAGGATGGTTTGCCAGAGAAGCAATAAAGACCAGTGTGCAAACAAAACAAATACAGGATCTCTCCGTGCCTGTGTTTGCTCTCCAAGTCCCTGAGGATGTTTCTAATCCCATGTGGGATAAAATGGAGAGATGCTTGTCAAAAGAGCTGGAGTTTTCACCAGTCCTTTCTGCTCCTTGAATCTCATCAGTGAATAATAACGAAAAACCAGAAAATCAGTTGCCTAATTTTAGAGCCCTGTGTGTGGGATAGCACTGAATCACCGAATCCTGCCCACAGAAAACCAGGATTTCTTGGAAGCTGCCTCAAATCAGAGGCTGAAATCATAGTGCAGGTGTGGGTTCTCTTCCTCGGGGCTCTGAGAGCTGCTGCTCTCTGTGGTGGGAGTCACTTGGTACCTGGGGATACCACATGGAGCAAGCCAAGCCATTCTGGGGAGGTTTTTGGTGGATAAGGGTCGGAGCTGGGATCTGGGCAAGGCAGCAAAACCTCTGGATTTGCAGTCCAGGTACTTCAGGTGCGCCAGGAGCAGGTTGGTGTCGCTGCATTTCCAGGGAGAACTGTACTTTAGGAGTTCCTGTGTGCTGTGTCCCCAGTAAAGGTGCTGTGCAGGCTGTGCAGGCCCAGAACCAGATCTGTGTCCTTGACATCGACATCCAGGGCGTGAAGAACATTAAGAAGACCGACCTGAACCCCATCTACATCTCGGTGCAGCCGCCATCCATTGACATCTTGGTGAGCGCCCGCCTTGCTTTGCCGTTAGGCAGTTAGAGGTAATCAGCTCTTGCTCTGCAGATGGGGGGGGATCTCACCCCTCCTTCATCCACCTCCGTGTTCTCAGGGCCCTGGAATAGGTGGGGAGGACATTCCCAAGCACTCAGTTCAGCTCCTCAGCCCCTGGCTCTCGGGGAGAAGTAAATTTGCTGTGCTCTGGTTTCTTGAGTCCCTCCCACACCTCGGTGTGTTTGCCTGTGCTAGGTGATGGACTCCACCACAGTCCTTCATGCTGGGGAGAGAAGGGCTTTCTGTACTGTAAATTCTGACCCCTCTGGTCTTACCCCATACAAGTGATTGCCGTGGGGCTCTGCAGAGGTGGAGTTGCTGTCGTGGTTCAGAGAGGGCTGAGGACACGTGAGCACAACCCCTGACTCTCCCCTCTTGCTCTCAGTGCATCAGGCAGTCTCTGGTTCTCGTTGAGCTTGAGGAGGAGGAAGCCAACAGCACCACATGGCCAGAGCCCAGCAGAGAGATTTCATTTCCAGCAGTACCTGGAAAAATAAATAAATAAGAGGGAGTTAAAAAAAAAAACAAAACCAAACCAAACCCTGGGACCCCGAGCTCCAGGTAGGAGATGCTGAGCCCAGTTTGGCCCCTGGTTTGCACTGGGCTGTAAATGAGGGTGCAGGGTATTCTCACGTGCCCCTGGTCACAGACAGCCCTGGCCTGAGGGGGTGGGTGGTGATTTCTGCCTGCAGCTTTCAGAGCATTTATTTTCTTAATACATTTTTCGCCGTGTTTAGGAAAAAAGGCTACGAGACCGAAAGACTGAGACAGAGGAGAGTTTACTGAAGCGTTTGACTGCAGCCCGTGTGGACCTGGAGCTCAGTAAGTCCTTGGAGTGGTGTGTGGTGGAGAGGGGATGATGCCTTGGTGATTCAGGAGCTGTTTTTTTCCAGGAATATCTGATTTATGCTCTCCAGAGCCAACTCTGATGGAAGCACTTGATGCCTTTCCCACTGCAGCTCCCTGTGGGTGGTTGGCAGAGCAGTGGCTGAAATAATATTACCAAGTAACTTCAAAATGCCACAGGACTTTGGGTTGAGCACAAGAGGTGACCCTGGGAAGAAACATCCTCCTCTAACTCTTGTCCTTGTCTCTTCCCCAGGTAAAGAGCCTGGGCTGTTTGACCTGGTCATTATTAATGATGATCTAGAAAAAGCCTATTCTGAGCTGAAGGAAGTGCTGCTGGAGGTGAGTCCTTGGAGCTTTTCCGCCTCATTCCCAGGCAGGTGTCACCTGTGGGCTGAGCAGGTGAGGGTCTGTCTCCTCAGGCAGCCCCAGGAATGTCACCTCATCCCACGCTTGGTCTGGTTTGAGGGATGTCAGATCATGCAGAGATCATGGATTAGTGATCATGGATCTATGGCCTGAAAGTGGGATATGAATCCAGCACAGTCCTGGCTTAGGGAGTAAATAAAGATACATCCCTGGGTGGGATAGAAGAGGATTCCTATTTTTGGAGCCTCCAAGTCAAACTTGCCTTGTCCTTGAAGGTGAACTCTGGGCTCAGTCCTCTGATCTGAGCTGGTGGTCGTTCCTGACCTCCAGAGCTCTGAAACCAAGAGTTTTTCCCAAAAAGTGGCAGATTCTCAGTTGTTTTCCTGCTCTCCTTGCAGGAAATCAAGAAGACCCAAGAATCCAGGAAGTCCTGAGCTGAGCTGACCCTGCTTGGACACTTCAATTTTGCACATCATTCCCGAAGCATGTTTTATTCCAAAAAGACATTCCCTTTAGGCTGCTCCTCCTCCCAAATTTCCCTAGGATGTTTATATTAAAAGGAAAGAAAAGGAAACCTGGTGGTGCTTGTGTTCCTCTCAGGTTTGCACCTCTGGATCCTTTGGAAGCTGCCAAAGGGCAGAGTCCTTCTGGAAGGCCGTGGAGGAGCATTTTGGGCACCTGCATCCCTGGCACAGGGCTTGGGATGTGGGATTTGGGGAGGGACATGCCACTCCATAAAGGGGAGCTATTTTATCATCAGCCCAGTGCTTTTTTTTTTTTTCTTTTTTTTTCTGGGGGAAAAATCCTGTGAACTTCTCTGCTATCCCACCAGCAGCCTTGGAATTCACGTGTTGTTCCACCTGAGTTTGGGTGCAGGTAGATTTTTAGATGCTCTTACACCTACAAGTTGGGGAAAGCAAGATTTCCCTCCCAAGCTGTGCAGCCTTGTGGGCTGATGTGCTTGAGGGCAGCAATAGATCCCTTTTCCTGGAGGAATCCGTTGTATCCAGCCACTGTCCCGTGCTGGTCTTTGCTTTGAGACCTGGAGAGATTTCACTTCCCGAGTTTTCCTCAGCCTTGATGTCGATGCTTTCATGGAACTCACGGTGGGATTTCTGTGTAGGGAGAGGGGTTGGGCTTTGGTCCTTGCGGGTCCCTCCAAACTCAGGATGTGAAATTCCGAGCCCTTTGGTCCTTCCAGCAGGTGAAATCCTGAGGGGCTGGTTCCTCACAGAGGGTGAAGATTGTGGAGCCAGGCTGGGAGAGCTGGGGGGGTTCAGATCCAGGGAGACCTGAGAGCCCCTTCCAGGGCCTAAAGAGGCTCCGGGAGAGCTGGAGAGGGACTGGGGACAAGGCATGGAAGGACAGGACACAGGGAATGGTGACCCTCAGCCGCCCTTTTAGCCCCTCACTAAGGTGATTTGAGGGTTATTTTGACCATTTACCTCTCTTGGGCTGTTTCAAGTACATCTTTCCTCTATTTCCTAGAAAGATTCCTTCCTCTTGTGGGATTCCCGGTGCTTGGTTCTAACTCGGGGTAAAACAAGCAGGAAAACCCCACGTGGATTCAGGGGTGTGAATCTCTGTGTCCAGGCTCTCCCTGCGCCATCAAGCGATGGACTGGGATTATCTGTCACTCCTGAACCGTGGGATTTTGTTACAATTTGAGGGGACGCGTTTGCAATGGGAAAAGGTCCCCTCTAGATGGCAGATGTGGCAGCGGGAAAGCGCCGGGATCGGGGATCGGAGTCGCGGAGCAGCAGAGCCGGAGGTGCAGGACACGGCGGCGCTGGGCTCAGTCCGGTGGCTCCGGCCATCCCGTGGGACCTGCGGCGCCGGCAGCACATGGAAATGCCCATTCCCTGCCTGCTGACCCCTCCTGCCAGCACCTCCAGCCCAGCCTGCACGCATCCCAGCGGGAGAGGTGAGTGGTGCCCGGGAAACCGGGACGGCGCTCCGGCCATGCGGCAGCGCTTTGGGAAATGGGAACAAGACGAGTCGTTCGGTTATCCCTCACGTTCCCCTTCCCCCGTGGGAAGGGAGAGGGAAGTCTGGAATAACCTGGCCTGTTGTGGGTGAGCTGCTTTGGCTGCTGTGCGTGACGGAGCCGAGCAGGGAACGCCTGGATGGCCGGGGCTAATGGGAGGTGACGGGATGGCCGTGGGGATGGGGATGGGCAGCAGAGGGATTGGGAGCGGGTGCTGGAGCCAGGCTGGTCACCAAGCAGGTGGCACAGCTGGGGGGCATCCCAGGGAATCATTTCGGGTGCTGGCAGTGCCCCTCTCCAGGTTTGGGGTTCAGGAGGGGCATCAGATCCCAAAAGTGGGTGGGCAAAGGCACTTGTTGAAGTGAGTTTAATTCCTGCATCCTGAAAAAAAGAGAGTTTATTTTATGAACCGCGTTTGCAGCCATAAATACCTTTGTGGATCCGTGTTTTTGGTTCTGGCTCCTTGGGGCGTTCCAGTCCCACATCCCGAGGACCACGGTGGGCAGCTGTGGCAGCTCCCAAGCTCTGGGTCCTCCACAACTGCTCCTGGTGCTCCATGGGGAGCTGGGATTGAGGGATCAGATTGGCAAAGGGAGGGATCAGGAGCCTCCCTGCCCAGGGGTGTTCTGTGATTTTTAAGATGCTCCTCCGGAAGACCCTTCCTCCCACCCAGGAGATCTTCCAGGCTGGAAGGTGCTGTTCCCATCTTGGAGCACACCCAGGTAGAGGAACAGGCCCCACTTCGGGGTTGCTTCCAGAAACGTCAGGAAAAGGGATTTTATGTAACTGTTCCGTCAGACTGGGATAAAACTGGACAGACTTCAGCTCTTTTCAGCTCTGAGATGCTTTGGGAGATGTGGCAGCACCTCATCCTACATCCCTGCAGCAGGAGGATGGAGAAGGGGATGGTGTGAGGAGCCACGCCAGGGAAAAGCTGGGATAAAACCTGCCCTGGGAGCTCTCCCTGGATGGGCTGGGGGTCACTTGGAGCCGATGCCGAAAAAAAAAGAACCACCCCCTGAAGCACTTTCGCTTCAAAGCTGTTGCTTTGCAGTCGTTGCCTTGTGGGTTTTTGCTGAATCTGGGCTGACACCACTTTTGGGGCAGGAACTGCTCCTTTCTCCCTGATTTTTTTTATCGTTTTCCCTGCCCATCCAAGCTCTTTGGCAACAGAAATACCTCTTCAGGGGGAGAATGTGGGGAGTAGACGCACCCAGACCCTGCTGGGAAGGATGTTGTGCGGGGGATGCCCGAGGGCAGCCGGTCCCTAAAGCCCAAACCCTCCCCGGGGGAAGCCAGGAAAAGCTGGAGCCACACTCCAGGACAGCTCCAAGCAGCCCAAATTAGCCCGAATTAACCCACCCTGATGAGCCCAAGGTCCAGAGCCTTGTCCTTGCCGTGGTTTTTCTTGGCATCTCTGATTCCCAGGCTCCTTTCCATGCCACTGCAGAAAGGCACCGCGGGGCAGAGCCAGCCCGGGAAATAATTGGGCAGCCGGCGTGGAAAAATGAGCAACGAGGGGAAAAAAAGGGAGCAGGAGTAACCCTGATCCTCCCGCTTGTCCGTCAGAGCCCGGAGAGAGCCGGCAGAGCTCCCTCTGGGAGCATCCCGGGCGGGGGAGTGTGGTGGGATGTGCTCTCGGGGATGCTCAGAGGAAGGTGTGGCACGGGTAGGGCTGTGCCTGCAGCGATCCCGAGTGCTGGGCTAGGATTTCCTGGGAGAAAGAATTCCTGGGAGAAGGGCGTTCAGCTCTCAGGGGGGTCGGTGCTGTCCGGCCCCGAGTCCAAGGCTACAAATTCCCACCTCTTTTGGCAAAAAACAGGATTTTTTTGCTCTGTCCACTCTGATGGAAACGTCTTCTAGGGAATCCTCTGGTGCCTGTGTAGCCTCAAGCAGGAGGTGAAAGGTTTAATCCAGGGAATTTGGGGTGCCATCCCTCTCCCTGGGGTCGCAGTGGAGCCACAGGGTGAGACCTGCTGGTGCTCCCTGATCAGACACAGTGCAAAAATCCTCCGGCATCACCCCAGAGCGGGATGAGGAGCAATGGAACCTCTGGGAGCGGGGGGAGGTGGGCTTGGAATGGCTTTCCTAAGATGAGGAATCAAGCCGTGGTGGGCTGGGGGGTGGGGGTTTCTGAGGGGGCTGCAGCTGGGATGGGTCTTGTGCCGGGTGGTGTGATCCATGCCAGAGCTCTGGGAGCCTTTGGATGATCCTCTGGGACACAGGGTGTGACTCTTGGGGATGAGGCTTTGCAGGGCTGGGGGTTGGACTGGGTGATCCTTGTGGGTTCTCCCAGCTCAGGGAGGTTGTGCCCAGGTATCCTGACGCCCTCTGTGCTCTCCCCCAGGACAGGGAGGTGACATCCACGTGCCAGCTGCTGCCACCTCGCCCTGAGACACCGCCCAGCACCCACAACAGGTGGGTCCCACCAACCCTCCCGGGGGATATCCCTGATCCAAACAGCTCCATTCCAGCACCCCCCATCCACGAGCTGCTCCAGGGCTTTTCCCTGGTGGCCTCGCCGCTGGGAAGGACGTTGTGTGGAAGGACGGAGTTTCCTCTCGGCACGGGGTGCTGGGGAGAACCCTGATGTCCTGGGCGCTCCAGGGCGCTTGTAGGGTGCTCCACGAGCATCAGAGCCGCCCTGGCAGCCGGACCAGGCCATGCCAGCCCTGTATTTGGGTCAGCCACATCGACTGGACGTGCAACTGTGTCATCCCTGGAGAGCGCGGGACGCCGATCCATAATCCCGGCCGGCTCCGCGAGGGGCGACACGCACGGCCCGGCACCGGCACCCACGCCCTGCTCCGGGGTTATCCACCCCAAACTGGGGCAATCCAGCGCTGCCTCAGCTTCTCCCAACAACCAGCAACTCGTCCCGGACCGAATTCCGGCCCTGTAAATACCGGGAGCCGTCTGCAATTCCCATTGTGCCAGTTGCCACCGCACACCGGCTGGAACAACCGGATGCTTGTGAAAGCAGGGATGCATCTCCCCCCCCCTCCCCCTCCTGGTGCCTGATTTTTCTCTCTGTCCAGGCACCAACCAGAAAGAGGGAGCAACAGGATGTTTTTCCGGATTTTACTGTCCCCGTCTCCGGAGATGCAAAGAGGGGACATAAAGAAGGGAGGCAGGAAAGGCGAAATTCCAGTATCCAGGTGGAGCTTGAAAAATACATTAAATGTATTAATTTCCATGTAGAGGGGGTTACTTCAATGATTCATTTGTATGGACAAGACCCCTAGAGCCGGGTCCAATGGGCACTGGGAAGGACAGGGTGATTGTCCCCCCCACAGTGGCCACATCCTCAGCCCAGCATTAATTTGCAGCTATTCCCTGAGGGATCAGGGGTTGCTGCTCCTGTTCGTGTCAAGGAAGTCTTGATGGAATGTAAAGTGCCTGTGTGGTGGCAATCCAGCCATAGGAATGTCCCTGGCTCCCCAGTGCAAAGCCAGCAGGGAGGTGATGGGGGAAAAACTCCTCAAAAAAGTTTTTCCAGTCCCCCCCCCCCAGTTACACCAGCAATGTGCTGATTTGGGTATGCTGGGTACAGGATGAGGGGGAAAAAAAGGGTGGCTTATCATATTTCCTGGTGGGAAGAGCAGGATCCTCGAGCTGCATCCCTTGCTTTGGACATGGTGGTGGTGCTGTGATGCCTCCTGGGTGTGGACTGGAGGGAGCAAACAACACCCCAGCTCGGGTGCAGAGGGGGAACTGGTGTCCCAGCCCAAACCAGTGGGATAATGTCCCTGCCTGGAGCACATCCATGGGGTGGCAGTGCCTGTCAGACACTCAGTTCTGACTGAGTAAGGAGGGTGGTCTCACATGGGGCACTGATTCCCTATCCCGTTGGAATTATTGCAGTGGTCTGATCTGAGGACCCAGCCAGACGGAACTTCCACGATCATTCTGGCCTCAGACCTGGGGATATCCCTTCTGCTCCCTCCTCCCAGTGCTGCCTGCACCCCCTGCTCCTGCCAGCATTCCCAGGAACAGCCTGGCTCCATCACAGCAGCATTCTCACATTTAATCTGCCTTTATAGATAATAATTTTTATTTAATACTCAGTGTTTTATGCACCCATGGGCCCTCCCATGGTGCCATTCCTGTTCCTATGGTGGGTTTATTGCTGAAATCCAACCTCATCCCCCTTGTCCTATAGGGAAAAAAAAATGTCACCAATCTTCTTGCAGTAGCTCCTGGTGTTTCCAGAGACAGGCAGGATTTTCCCTTGTGCCTTCCCACCTCCTTGGCTGCTGCAGGCGGGCCCTGGGGGCCCCTGAGAACGTTTTGGTTCTGTTTTCTTGCCACCTTCCCATTTAATAATTGTGTTTATCAGAAAGGGCTCCCTGCTCATCCTCCCTCCAGCCCAGAGAAGCTGTGGCTGCCCCTGGATCCCTGCAAGTGTCCAAGGCCAGCTTGGACGGGGCTTGGAGCAACCTGGGCTGGTGGAAGGTGTCCCTGCCCATGGCAGGGGGTTGGAATGAGATGAGCTTTGAGGTTCCTTCCAACCCAAAGCATTCCATGACCTCAGTGGACACCTCCGGCCCCTCTCCAGCTCCTCAGTGTGCTCCTCCCGTGGGTGCAGCTTCCAGATGCAAAGCCCCTGGAAGGATCCCAACAAAATACCACTGGGAGCTGTTAACAACCCTTCTCAGCCCAATCCTCCCACCACCTTTGTACCCCTGATGGATTCGATCCAAGATCCCACCTCCTTCCCCTCTTGGAGGAACCTCACACCGGCCAACACCGCGGCAGAGATGGCGAGGGAAAACCAGGATCCCTCCTGCCCTGGGTGGAAAATCAAGGGAAAACGAAGCCCCCTGCTCCTCTCCAGAGGCAGGAGGAAGCTCTCAGAGGAGCAGAAGCTTCGCCCTTGTGCCACCACACGCAGGAGCCGCAGCCCCGGGGCGGGGAGGGGACAATGGTGCCATTGAGCAGGACACTGAAACGCTGCCGTATTGTGCCTGGCAGAGAGATTCCCGGGAATAATCGCCTCCTCCTTGGCTTTGTTGCAGGGTTCTGCTGGTCCTGCTGCAGGGCTTTTCCCCCACGGAGGTCTCTGGTTATGTGGTGAAGACCCTCAGCCCAGAGGCACCTTTTTTTTTTCCTGGCTGGGAAAGGTACGGTCGGAATTATCCTTCCCCTGGGGGTGGCGCTGGGTGGGAGAAATTGGGGATTTGGGAGCAAAAGGATGCTCTGCTCCTCGTCCTGGGGGGGGCCTCGTTACTCCTGCTTTGATCCTTGTATATCCTGTATGCATATTATATTGTATATCTATTTTATTGCAGACACATATTATATTGCATATATATTGTATATGTATTATGCTGTATATATGGTACATTCTTTAGATATCACATTTTTAGATATGTTTTTAGATATAATTTTTAAGATGCCTTTTTTAGGTATAGTTTTTAGATGTCACATTTTTCAGATATCACGTAAAATGTCAACATGAGGAGCCATGGAAATTATCTTATTTCTTTTCATACAGAACCTTTTTCATTAAATATGAGTTTAAGCTACAGAAACACAGCTCTTCTTAGGGGTCTGGACAACTCCTGAAAATTTAGAGCCAGGATTTCCCTTGGGACTGTTTTAAGCAAGGCTGGATGAGACCTTTGCTCTGGGTCTGACACAAAGCAGGGCTGAGATTTTTTTTTTTTTAGGAGCATATTTAAGGTTGTTTTCCAGCTGGGCACCTACAAACAGCATCTCCCTGCACGGTTTCTGGTGAGGGTGTTTTCCTTGTCCCCAAAATCTGCTTGAAATCCTGGGATTTGGGCTTGTGAGCACGTCAAGGGCTGCAGCAGCTGCAGGAGCAAGTGCAGTGGTGATGTCTCCCTTCTCCCTCCTCCTCCTCCTCTATCCCTGGAGCATCCTATGAGCTGATTTCCTCTTGAAAATTCCTTCTGGGAACACATCCCCCCTCCCTGCACGGACAGCCAGGCTGTTTCCCAGCTCGTTGCTTCCCTAAAGCAGCTGGAGAGCAGAAAGCCACTTGAGAAATGAAAAATAAGAGCATGAAAACTTGGCTTTCCCCATGCCAGAAGAAGAGGATATCTCTTAAAAATCCCTTAAAACTAGGGAAAAAACAAAACAAAACAAGTTATTCTGAGTAGTTTCACATGGTGGGAGCTACTTCAGACACACAATAGGATCAGGAGGTTGGAGAACCACGAGATTTTTGAAGGTTCAGAGTCTTCTTCACGCTGGATTTGCCAAGTGTTAGGACTCTCTGTGAGTGCAGGGAGTGAAACCCCTCTGGTTTTGCACAAATCTCGCCTCCCAGCACGGGGCCTTTAAGGAAAACATCAATTTTTGTGAGATCAGCCGTAAAACCATCCGAGTTGGCAATGGGAAGGAACAGACCACAACGTGCCAGAGGTTGTAGCCTCTGGATGGGGCAGTTATTTAATCCCTGGGGTCGAGTGAGGGGCAACATCCCCCCCCCACACACACCCCCCTTCCAGCTGTTTTCCCTTCCAGCTGTTCCCCCTTTCCCTACAAAACAGGGCTGAAGAGCAGCTGGGATGGAGCTGGTGAGAAGCCTCTGGGCCAACATAAAATACTAAAACTGTTTAACTCAGCATTGCTAAAAAAAGCGAAACTTAAAAAGTTTGGGCTCTGCTTTGGAGGTAAAAATTGGAGGGAAAAATAGGGTTGGTTTGGTTTTTTTTTTTTTTTTTCGGTGGTGGTGCTGGAGTCTGTCCCTGCAGCTGTGAGGACAGGGTGGGTTTGCAGCCGATTTTTCTGTCCAGCTTCAGGGCTGTTGGAACAGAAAGGCACAGAAATTCCGAGCAAGAAGGAAGCATTTCTCATCCTGCTGTAGCACCTCCGCTTCTTCCCTGCTCCGAGGAGCCCCTTCCTGCTATTTTTAGCCCTAAACCTTGGGACTATTTGAATAGTTTGATTTTTGTGTTTCCATAAGCGTTGCCTCTGGGCAATGTTTAATGGGATTTTTTTTTTTTTTTTGGGGGGGGGAGTGCTTGGAAGGAAATTCAAGGAAAAAAAAAGGAAATCCACGAAATAAAAGGAAACCAAGAAATCCTTGCATTGTCAAATCCAGAGGAGCTTTCCCGGCTCGGGAAGCCTCCCCAGTGGAGGTCTCCACGTCACCGTCTCCAGGCTGGAGCAGCGGGAAGAGCCCGGGTTCAAAGGGGTGGGAGGGAGGAGAAGCGTCGGGAGCTCCGGGGCAGGGACAGGGACCCACGGCCAGCCAGGATGGCACCTTTTTGGGAAGGACTGAGCCCGAAGCTTCTCTGTATGTTACTTTTCACTTTGTTTTATTTCTTTCCCCCCTGTCGCGTCCCCACTCCTTCCCCCCTCCCGCTCCTTTCCCCACTTTATTTTGCTGATGAGTTTTTAGCTCGGCCGATTCCCAGCACTCCCAAAGATCCCCTCCCCTCTGCTTCAACCCCGCTCTGCTCCCACCCTGCTCCTCGTTTTCTGCCCTTTTCCCCGTCTTTTGGGTGGGAAATGTGTTTGCTGTGACTTGATGTTGGTGTCCTGCCTCTCCTGCTGGTGGTGAGAGCCACAACATCCCTATTTGGCATCGGTTTGTGAGCTTTGTCGGAGTAAATCATCCCCCGGCGCCCGGGGCACTGCAAACCCAGCTCCGGGGAGTTTGGGATTAAGCTGCTGGTGGTTTAGCTTTTTCCTCGTGGAAAAAAAAAAAAAAGGAAGGAATTCTTGGCTGGGAGGGTGGGGAGGACCTGGCACAAGTTGCCCAGAGAAGCTGTGGCTGCCCCTGGATCCCTGGAAGTGTCCAAGGACAGGTTGGAGCAACCTGGGATGGTGGAAGGGGGTTGGATTGAGATGATTCTTAAGGTCTCTTCCCACCCAAACCATTCTGGGGTTCTGTGAAACCCCTCTGTGCTCTGGGAGCTCCTGTCCCTGTCCCAAACCTCCTTTCCTGTCAGACCACCAGAGGTGGGGAGAGGAAGATCCTTCATGTTTTTGTTTTTCCTGCTGGTCCTGGGTTACATTTCTGAGGTCTCTGCAAGTTTTTGGGTCTGCATCCTGCTTTCTTTGGGATGAGCAGCTTAGATCCCTTTGCTCCTGCATCCCAAACTGGTCTTAAAGGAGGACTCTGGACACAGGAGCTCATCCCAGCAGGAGATGTGGATTTGCAGCTGCTGTCTCTAACCCATGGACAAAAGATCCACTGGATCTTCTCCATGAGGTGATTTTGGATTGTTTCTAAAGTCAGATTTTCCATGCCTTTCATCCTCACATCCAAAAACACCTCACACAGGATGTGCTCCCTCCTGTCAGCCGGGGAAACTGAGGCAGGGGGAGCATCACCACCAGTGGGAGCTGCACCTGCTCCTTGCTGGCCTCATTTCCTTGGCAAACCAGCCCTTTCCTGAGGGAAAACTCTCCTCTTGGCTACCAAACACTCAGGATGTTCCTCTGGACTGGGATCTCCAACTTGCATCCCCCGCTCACACCTCAGAGTGCTGAGAAGAGCTTCAGGTGGAGATGCTGCTGCATTTTGGTCACTTTTATTGGTCCCATCCTTTTAAATCTCTGATTAATGGGTGACCCCGAGCTACGTCCCTTCTACCTCCAGACCTCTGCAAACTTGGGTGCAGACCAGCATTTCTCCAAAGATTTTTCGGGAAAGGGGGGCTGGAAAGAGCTCCTGAGCCCTCCTTGGTCATGCCTAGGAAAGGATTTCTCTCTCCCCCCTTCTGGAGGCTCCATTTCCTCCCATCCCAAAATGCCCTTTCCATCTATCCCAAGCACAGGAGCTTGGCTTAATGAATTGATTCAAGCTGTGATTAATTGGGAGAGTGTCGTGTCCTCTCCTGGTAGGACGGCTGAGCAAACAACCCCCATACCCCAACCCGAGGGACACAAAGAGCCTCAGGAGGCTACAGACATCACCTCCTTTCCCCCAGATTACCTTGGAATGCCACAGGGGGGCCATCTGCCCTGCCTCCAAAGCCTCCTTAGGAAGCTGGAGGAAGGAAATCCATCCTAACCCAGCTCCAGTGAGTCACGGGCGGGTGGGAACGGGACAAAGGGGGATGAGGCTGATGGGGAATCTGAGCCTTGTGCTCCTCCTGCGAGCTCTGAGAGCTATTTCCGAGACAGTCCTTGGGTCTTGTCCAAGACCAAAATACCAGGAGACTTTTTTTTTTTAAGTGTGTGCAAGAAGGAAACCCCTCCTTGCCCAGCAATCCACCCTGGAGGTGG